TACAACACTGTGTCGGCTTTAGCTGTCATAACACGCACCAAATTTGGTACATCGATGGAATTAATATAGATAAAACCGAAGCGGATTCACGGTTTTGCTCATTTTGTATGAAATTGTATGTTTTTGTAATTTTAATTTTAAATTTTTATTTTAAATAAAACTATCTTTTCGGCTTTTTTTGCGAATTTATTATGATTTTTGGTTCCCGACGTTTCGAATGCATTACAGCAATCATGGTCACGGGAGAGACTCTAAACGTCGGGAACCAAACATCAAAATAAATTGGCGAAAAAATCCGAAAAGATAGTTTTATTTAAAATGTCAAGTGTTCGCGTAAATCTACGAATGTAATATTTAAATTTTTATTATAACATAAGTATGAGAAGGCGTAAGAGGACATGCTATTTGTAATAGAATCGGCTCTGCGTATACTTTACAGAATATCTTCAGGAGCAAGCAATTTATCCTTTAACGTGGGAGAGCAATTTTCTTTACCATTTTTCTCCTCTTTTTATTCCTGCTCTTTTTGGGCAATGTCACTTTAATTTTTTTAGTTGTATGTATGTTCATATGGTTTTTTTTCTAGAAATTTACATGATTGTTATTTGGAAATGTTCACAATTTAAGAAGAAAGCAAACATCCATTCGATTTGACCACCTCCTTCTTTTTTAAGTCGAGCAAAATGACCTGATGTTGCTTGACAGAAGAATAACCATGAAACACTTGCAATTATTTATATTTTTTTAGATATGTTGCCTACTCGATATTTTCGCCCGTCTTGAATCGATTGTTAGAATTCTTTCTTAATTAATAAGTAGGGTAAGCCTGGTATTACTATCCATATTAATTAAAAAAAATCAGCCCCAGCGTGTGGAATAATTACATTTCAGTGTTTTGGAAGCATCTGAAACTCTTCTGTTCTTAACTATACTAAATCCATACTAATATTATAAATGTAAAATTACCTAAGTTTGCAGGTAAAATTTGGCAAGAACTGCATCCTGGGAACATAGGCTAACCTTTGATCTCGGCCTAGACCACGAGTGAAGTCGCGGGCAAAAATAAAATTTGTAATTTATAACTGTACAAAAGAAAATTGACTGTTTAAAATTTTACATGTCTATTATTGTCAATATCGATTAATGCGAATGCTTCACCTCTAACTAAATGTTGTGACGCCGTCTCCACAGCAACGACCTGCTGCGATGCCCGGTCAAGGAAGTACTTCAGCCTTTTACTTGAAGCCATATTCTAATTTATGAATCAATAACATAGTTGACAGTTGTTGTAATATGTATGGTTTGAATAATTTTCTAAATATACATTTTTCTTTATATTAAGAAATATCGGTTATTCCAACTCGTTGCTTACATTTTTCTCATGGGTTTTACAAAAAATCATGTTTTCATTTTCGGTTTTGGTTAGGGTTCGTCCCTAGTTACGTTTTAACGTTTAGTATAGATTTCTCAAAGATGAGACATTTTCTCACAGTAAAAAGTATCCTATATGTTGACGCGGATAATCAGCTATAATCATACCAAATTTCTTCAAAATCTATCCAGTGGTTTTCCTTTCGCAGATAAACAGACAGACAAGAATTCTAAAAACTATAGATTCGGTCTCTGTATTGATAATAATGACTACTTTAATAATATTTTCCAAAAAATATTTAGAGTACAGATTCGACTCAGTTAGAATTTTATTATATGTATAGAAATAAGATAATTTACAATCTATACTTGTAAATGAAGTTGAAGTATCTAACTTAATGGTTGAATGACTAGCTCATATCAATCTCTTATAATTAGAGGCACATACTAAACCTTTCTTTTTAAATACTTAAACTTTTTTGAAAATGTTTTTCTGTCAAGAAACCTTTGAAACAACTGAATTTAGCAATTACATGGGTTTTCCAAGCGAGCGCCACTGGGCTACCACTGCCTTAAAAATTGAATACACCATACGATCAGTAATACGATATAGATATCCTAAAAGAACGGTGGCAAAAATATATATAATTTCATTTTATACGTGCAAAGTAATCAAAGAAAACTTATTACTCCAGCAAAGTTTCAAAGTCTTCCCGGATGGAGCAAATACTCGTAATTTCTGATGAAAAGGGAAAAACTTTGACGTTAGTTCTGTATAGATTGAATGTTCACAATGCAATCGATAGTTATATTTTCTGCTAGTTTTTTAGGGTTCCTTAATAGTTATAACCTTCTGTCCGCTTTCGGCTATGGCGGCCTCAATCCAGGAGATACATATATAAGTATTATAGTAGGTACAATGCGTATGCACAAAAAGTGTAGTCTCAATTCCTTTCACTTTCAAATACCTGTGGAACGATACTTTAACACAATCGGGAAATGAGTAAGCACAGGACTGACGTTGCGTACTCTTTGAGCATAGCTCCATCTGGAAATCGAACCCATGACCTGCAGATCTAGGCACTAGAGTCTATACCAACAATGCATGGGAAAATTACGTAATAGTTCTTCCCTAGGAGATTCTTTAAATTGATTGAAATATAACAAATACTAAAAATGTTAAGTGAAGCTTACTATACTATTTCAATAAAATTTTCTAAAAATATTTAATGTACAGATTTGACTCAGTTACAATTTTATTATATGTATAGATATAGATATTCATAACATCTATACTAATATTATAAAGAGGTAAAGTTTGTGATTTTGTGACGTTGTACCCCCTACAATCTCTGGATGTACTGAACTGATTTAGATGAAAATTGGTAAGAAAATAGTTTAAGACTCTGGAAAGGACATAGGATACTTTTTATCCCGGAAATCATTCCTTAAGGGGGTGAAAATGGGGATGAAAGTTTTTATACGAAATCAACCTAGGGACGAACCCGAGCAAAGCGAGGGTGAGTCGCTAGTTGTATATATATGTAGTGGTGTATATGTCTTATCTTGTAGCAGTTGAAAATATTCAGGGCAGCCACAAAACGGTTTCATCTAGATTTCTTAGAGCATGTCCAAATGACGTATCAGTGTGCTAATTCAAATAGCATACTTTTGAATTGTATATTAGAGTATAGAGTAAAATTATTAGAATAAACTTATTTTTATTTAGGTTATAATATATAATACATATCTAGATTAAGGTGAAAAATATGATTTATAATACAAAAAGTTGTCTGTCTGTTTGATATTTATAAGAGACAAATTATAATTTAAACGTTTAAGTTACTTTTCATGTTTAGTATAGATTTCTGAGAGATGAGATACTTTCCCGCAGTAAAAATATGTTACATAAAATCCTGAATAACCAGCTATCATCATACAAAATGCCGTCAAAATCTGTCTAAACGTTTTCTCGTAATATGTTTCCAGACAGACAGAGAAACAGACAGACAGACAAACACGCTAAAAACTATAAATTCGGTCTCTGTATCTATAATAATGATTATTTCAATAACATTTTCTATAAAACATTTTATGTACAGATTCGACTCGGTTAGAATTTTGTTATAATGTATAGATTTATTTTCATAACATTTATTAGAGATAGATTTTCATACAGTTTCTTTTACGTACAGACTGTAATAAAAATATAATGTGATGATGATGTTCTCCTAGCCGATTCCGGCCACGGCGGCCAATCTCATTGCGACTAGCCAACTGCGCTGTAGATATTATAGTGCACAAGTGTACGCGCAGCCACAACGTGCACTCTCTATTCCTGTCACTCTCATACTCCTGTGGGACGACTGCTCGACACGACCGGTGAGAGTTAAGACGCAGGACCGACGGCTTTACGTGCTCTCCGAGGCACGGGAGTGAAACACCGCCGACTTGCCAACTCCGGGCTGTTACTGAGGCTTACTATACAGAAAGACTCAATAAATAAACTTGGCCCGCCCGGGACTCGAACCCAGGACCTCCGGATGTGGAGCCGTACACCTGGTAGCCACTACACCACCGAGGCAATTTATAGAAACCAAGCAGACTATAGAGATAATCTGAATGCTATTATTGTATAAATGTATAGGGATTAAAATGTATATATTATTTTATGGTTATTAGTAAATCAAAATAACTCATACAGAGTATAAATATTACAATTTTCAATTATTGCCTTACAAATATTGTATGCAATAAAGAAACTGCGTCGTAATGAGATCTTACAATATATGCATTCTAAATTAGTTAATATGTATAAATTAACGCTAACACATTTATATGGGCGCGTGCTGACATATTCATCACGTCGACCGTCGACATGATAAATTGTGCTAAATTTTTAACCATATAGGTACATACATATACTTTGTTCATTTTTATTTCTACTTTAGTGTAGCAAAGGTACATCAGTTTAAATGAAACACAATAAAATTAGTGATACACTTTTACTAGTGAGCATTGTTAATCAAGCAACAATATTTTATTTGTAAATCAAATTGTGGTACTCACGATACAGGCTTTGCCTAGTGTGAGTTACCCTCAGGTATAAAAATATATTGTAAGCTAAACTTTTTGGACAATAAAGATTATTATTATTATTTATTATAAGTCAAAAATCCTTTTTTTGTATCTACTTAGTCTTTTATATAAATAAAAATGTTCGTATATTTGTCCTCTATGAGTTTCTAAGCCATCAGATTATGATGAAATCCTGGTGGGTTATTTACTATACGCGAAGGTTTCTGATGTAAAAAAAATCTTTGGATGTTTGTTTTTTATGCGTTCCTAAACCATTCAAGGGGGGGGGGTAAGGGAGAACGGGACTACAATCTAATCCGACCCAATTGCCAACCTCACCTGCACGTGGTGCCCCCTGCTAGATAACAGACGAGGCTCTGGCAACTGATCAATGGCGGTATAACCACACATCCAACACAGTGATTGGAAAAGGCAAGCAGCGACCTTGAGGTACAAGTAAACTCTAAAATGTCTGGTGCAGAAGGCAAGGGGAAACCACTGCACTATTTTCCCTAGTTATCGTCAGCTTTATGGAAAAGTGTGAGAAAAAAATGGCCCCGAGTTCCTGGCGTCCCTTAGATGGGACAGGGGTGCTAAGAATCCCCAGGTGGAAAAAGCAACAAATGAAGATAGGAACGTGGAATGTCAGAAGTTTGAAGAGTCCCGAAAAGGCCTATAATGTCTGCAAAGAAATGCAACGAATGAAGATTAACATTATGGGACTAAGTGATATCAGATGGATAGGCAAAGGTAAACATCAAATAGATAATAACTTCACCATGTATTACTCTTGTTCTGACGATAGTTCCAACAAGTATGGAGTGGGAGTAATCATAAACACAAAATGCGTTAATACACTTGTGAACTTAGTACCAAAATCAAACCGAACCATGTTACTTCAAATAGAAGCCAAGCCTAGAAATATTAACATCATACAAGTGTATGCTCCCACTACAGATGGGTCAAATCAAGAAGTTCGAGACTTTTACAGAGAAATACAAGACCTGCTCCAAATGACAAAAAATCACGAAATAAATCTTGTAATGGGTGATTTTAATGCTAAAGTGGGTAAAGGAGATGTCCCAAGAGTAGTCGGAAAGTTTGGACTTGGAGCAAGGAATGAGAGGGGTGATACCCTTGTACAATTCTGTCAGGAGTGTGATTTCGCTATCATGAACACCTATTTTCAATTACCACCAAGGAGGTTGTATACATGGACGTCACCTAAGCATAGCGCTCAGCAAATTGTAAGAAATCAGATAGATTACATCTTGATTAATAATCGCTTTCGTAATTGCATCAAAAGTGCTAAGACCTATCCTGGAGCTGATATAAGATCCGACCATAATCCAGTTATAGCGACAATATCATGTAGACTTAAACAACTAAAGAAGAGAATACAGCACCACGCAACTGACGTGAGGAAACTTAAAGAGCTTAACATCCGAGATATAGTGGCGAAAGAAATAAATGAGTGGGCAGTAGATAAGAAACTTGGGATACCGCGTACGGTGGAGGAAGAGTGGTGTTCAACAAAGAACAAATTATTAACCATCAATGAGACGCACTTAAAAAGAGATTGGACCCCTAAGCAGAGCTGGATGACAGAAAAAATATATAATCTTATGGAAGGAAGGAGAATCTACAAAAATTCAGACAAAGGCAAGTACACTGAGATTGATAAGAAAATTCGGCGTGAAGTTCGTTATGCCCGAGATGCTTGGTATAAGTGCAAATGTGATTTTGTGGAGGACCTTTATGCTAAGCATGATGCATTTAACCTGCATAAGGAAATAAAATATCTGGTAGGGCAGAATAAGACCACTCATCAACTTACGGACAAAAATAATATTCCCATATTAGATATATCAGGTAAAAAACACCTATGGGAACAACACATTTCATCAATGTTTGCCGATGATTTTCGAAGCATAGCGGTAAATTGTGACCCTAATGAAGGATATCCTATCCTGAAAAGTGAAGTCACTAACGGTCTTAGAAAAGCTAAAACGGGAAAATCAGCCGGGCCGAATAATGTTCACATAGAGGTACTTAAACTTATTGAAGAACAAAATATTTACTTCCTGGTTAATTTTTTTAATCTGGTTTATCAATCTGGCCACTTGCCCAAGGACTGGCTAACTTCAACTTTTGTCACACTTCCTAAGAAGGCCAACGCTAGAAGGTGCGAGGAGTTTCGAACGATTAGCCTTATGAGCCAAGTATTGAAAGTATTTCTAGCTATCATCCATGAGCGAATAAGATCTAAATGTGACGAACACCTTGCAGACAGCCAGTTTGGCTTTCGAACAGGAGTGGGCACGAGAGAGGCTCTTTTTGCAATGCAGGTTCTCGTACAGAAAAACAGAGACATGCAACAAGACGTTTTCCTTTGTTTCATCGACTACGAAAAAGCCTTTGACAGAGTACTGCACGACCGTCTAATTGCAATATTACACGATATCGGCTTAGATGACAAAGATATACGTATTATCCAGAATCTGTATTGGAACCAAAAGGCTACTGTACGAGTTGACAATGAAGAGACCGATGAAGTTGAAATAAAGAGAGGAGTTCGTCAGGGCTGTATATTATCACTCACTCTATTTAATTTGTACTCGGAAAGTGTAGTAGAAGCAATGGAAGACCTGGAATGTGGAGTCAAAATAAATGGCCGGTATATTAACAACATCAGATACGCTGACGATACAGTCCTAATAGCATCATCTCATGAAGAGCTACAATTGATTATGACCCGTGTTAATGATTGCAGTGCAAACGCTGGTCTACGGATGAATATATCAAAGACGAAGATCATGGTTTTATCCAAACATAGCTTCGATGACATGGCTATCATGGTAGCGGGCCAAAAAATTGAGAGGGTACGCAAATATAAGTATCTAGGGACATGGCTTAATGACACCTGGAGCTGTGAACAGGAGGTAAAGACTCGCATTGAAATAGCTCGAAGTGCCTTCTGCACCTTAAAAAAAGTCCTCTGCAATCGCAGACTCAAGATCCCTTTGCGTACACGACTCCTACATTGTTACATCTGCCTCGGTGGTGTAGTGGCTAGCATGTACGGTTGCACACCCGGAGGTCCTGGGTTCGAGTCCCGGGTCGGGCCAAGTTTAGTTATTGAGTCTTCCTGTATAGTAAGTCTCAGTAACAGCCCGGAGTTGGGAAGTTGGCGGTGTTTCACCCCCGTGCCTCGGAGAGCACGTAAAGCCGTCGGTCCTGCGCCTTAACTCTCACCGGTCGTGTCGAGTGGTCGTCCCACCGGAGTATGAGAGTGATAGGAATAGAGAGTGCACTTGTGGCTGCGCGTACACTTGAGCACTATAATATCTCCTGCGCAGTTGGCTAATCTCATTGAGATTGGCCGCCGTGGCCGGAATCGGCTAGGAGAACATCATCACATCTGGCCTATACTTCTGTACGGATGCGAGGCGTGGACAATTAAAGAAGACCTCAAGAAACGTATAGAAGCTTTCGAGATGTGGGCATATAGACGTATGTTGGCCATGAGTTGGACTCAAATGATATCGAACGTAGAAGTTCTGCGACGCTTCAATCAGAAACGGCTACTTTTGGAGACCGTCAAGAAAAGAAAAGTTGCATATCTTGGCCATGTGCTTAGACATGAAAGATATCGACTTTTGCAGCTCATCATGGTGGGAAAGGTTGCCGGCAAGAGAAACGTTGGTCGCAGAAAAAAGTCTTGGCTGAGCAACATCCGAGAATGGACGGGAATCGCGAGTGCTGCCGAACTCTTTCGCCTCACGAAAAACAAGACGGAGTATACGAAGCTGACGACCAACCTTCGCTAGTCGGAGAGGCACTTGAAGAAGAAGAAACCATTCAAGCTTAGAGACGGACGCACCAGAGCGAAGTGAGAGTACGTCGCTAGTATTTTATATTTTAGAGCGAAAGAGAGAGAGAGAGAGAGATACAGATAGAGAGAGAGAGAGAGAGAGATACAGATAGAGAGAGAGAGAGAGGGAGAGTAAGTGAATATGCCTGTTGCTTTTTCGCACTGTGACTTTTCAAATGATTTAAGCAAAATTCGCAATAGAGGTAAGATTAAAACACAAGCTACTTACGGTGTACCAACTAAATATATCTGCGAAACCGTGGACGTGAACTGTAAAACAACAAGATAGGAAATAGATATCTTGACGACACGACATGTTTCATACTGACTGATATAGTAAAAAAAACTAGTGATATAAATTCGACAATAATTATTTTTTCAAAAAAAAAAGAAAATCATTTGACAAATAAAGGAGAGAAAGATACTGATTTGATTTCTCTTTACCAGATAATATAACTAGATGTATCTATAAAAAAAACTATTTCAATTTTTTTTATTGACAACACCATAAATATCTAATAAGCAAAAAAAAATTGTTCCACAAACAGAGGTAAAGAAGGTACTGAAATGTAGTCTTTGTCTATTTATATATAGACTCTACTATTGCACACCGGAACCCTAAAAACCACTGCACTGTGCACTTTTCACTGGACCGCAATGGTCAATTAAGTGGCATTTAATCATTTTAAATTGCTGCGACCTTAGGGGCGTTGACTGAGCCGAGGTCAGAGATAATGGAGATCAGACTCCTTGCAGTGGGTCCATGGCATTTATACGATTAATCAATTATTAAAACCCTTTAATTGGATAATACACTGTTACGGATATTGTTGAAAAGTTAAATTTTAATGATTAAAACTTTTGCTTCCGTCTATGATTCCTCAAATTCATTCTGTTTTTGAGTCCTGCATGTTTTTGAAAGCTGTTGAAAAGTTCCACTCATTTGTACATTTTTGCTCTATCACTTGGCTCTATTATCATATCAATTCGATAGTACAAAATGTAATACGACTAAATGTAATAAGAGAATCGATTAATCATCATCTCCCTGCCCATTTCCCAAATTACTTGGGCTAAGCTCAGTACGTCCATACTGCTTATTGGTTTTGGCAAAAAAAAATCCGACCGGCCGCTTGCCTGACATCAACCCTCTTTGTGAATGCTATTGTTCACCCGCTATCAGGCAAGGGACTTAGGTTTCGATGTTCCTAGATCCTTTAGTCGTCTTCTACGACACCTAGAGGAGGAGATGGTGTCGCCCTATTCTAAACCGGGCGTTGTACGGCTAATTAGGAATCGATTAATAAGAGAAATTTCATACTGCAGAGATATCTTTTGTAAAAAAAGGTTCAATACATAGTTATGGTACTCGACGTGCTAGCCACTTAGTGCTACCCATAACTAGAACCAAGTCTGGACAGAAAACTATAACTTTTGAGGCAGCAAAAGTCTATAGGTAATAGTTTACCGAAAGAAATAAAAAAATCTAAAACTTTCAATAGCTTTAAGTCTAGGTTATATAAATATATTCTTTGTAACTAATTTTCACAGTTCTACTGATCAACTGTCATAATTTCTTATATTTTTCTTATATGTTTCTTATGTAGAAGACTTGTTCGTAATGAGAAATAAAGTTCTTTAAACCGAAATACATCGAGATATCGTGTGTAAAATGTCCCAAACAGGTTTAAAGATATAACACCACTTGAATATGCACACAGAGATTCGCTGGACTTTTTTCGGGAATTTTCGGGAAAGATGTAAAAATTGTTTTTTTTTTCAGAAAATATACCTACCTATATAAATAAACTCAAAAATCAAAACCTTATCTAAATACAAAATTTGATGCAAATCGTTAGAGTCGTTTCCGAGATACACGAAATAAATCTATACCTACATATAACAAAATTCTAAATCAGTCGAATCTGTACATTACATAAATTTTGGTAAATTTTATTGAAATAGTCATTATTATCGATACAGAGGCCGAATCTTTAGTTTTAAAATTTTTTGTCTGTCTGTCTGTCTGGGAACGCATCACGAGAAAACCACTGGACAGATTTTGATGAAATTTGGTATGATGATAGCTGGTTATCCGGGTCAACACATAAGATACTTTTTACTGCGGGAAAGTATCTCTGAGAAATCCATACAAAAGAAAAAAACGTAACTAGAGACGAACCCGAGCAGAGCGAGCGTGAGTCGCTAGTTTATATTTAAATATACAAGAATTGCTCATTTTAATATTATAACATGACATAGACACACATTTTGTTGTAGTTAGCAATCCCAGTGGCAGCAGTTTGTTATTATGTTTTTATTTACATATCAACGGAGTAATATGTCAGCGAATTGCGAATATTATAAGTTGGGACGCGAGAGGAGTGAAGGTAAGTCATTAGTTCTAAGAAGTTTTTTTTATTTCCAATAGCACATATTTATAACAATCTTAAAACAGGTATTAAAAACCTGTACCAAGGTATTTTCGACTTGTTTAGCTCGTTTTGTGAATCTTAACACATTTTTGCTTAAACGGTATACTATATATAATAAAAATTGTTTTTTGTTCACTAGCCACCATGGTTTTGCTCAAGTTCAAATGGGATATACTCTCGTATACCTAAATTATTCACAAACACTCGGACTAACAAATTTAAGATTTGTACGTAATAATAGCGATTCACTCTCGCTTCGCTCGGGTTCGTCTCTAGGTATGTTATAACGGTTAGGTTAGTTAGTGAGTTGTTATGGGTATTGAAACGTGTTTTTTCGTAGAAATGAGATAATATCCCATGGTTAAAAGAAGCCTATATCACTCTCCAGCCCTCCAACTATCATCATACAAAAAATCACGCCAATCTATCACTCTGTTAACACATCAATCAACGTGAAAGAGGGACAAACAAACACACTTTCACATTTATAATATTAATATGGATATAATATTAATATATTGATGGTATGTATAATATTAATATATTGATGGTACTATGTTAGAATTCTTTACAATCTTACCAACATCATCTCACTAAAAACTTCATCTAATGATATTTAAGTGATTATGATACTGTTTTTCAGCATTAGTGACTAACCAACAAACATACATTTATTTTTATATACATAATTTTCACAACTTTCTTCGTAACGCTTGACAAAGTAGCCGAACGGTATTTGATATAGTAAAAAGCAAATCTATACTTATGTTATAATTGCGAAAGTTTGTAGTTCTTTCACGCGGCAACGGATGAAGAATCATAGTAACTTTTTATGTATATACATAGTTTATGGTCTGAAGAGTATCATGAACTACTTCGGTAAATGTAATTTCTTAGATATCAATATTACCGCGCAGTGGAGAGTGTGTAACGTCATTACACCAAAAATAATAATTAAAATGGCACGTCTGAAGCATGCTTTATACATCCTAAGAAAGTTGTCAACATAATTCGTTGGCTTACTATTACAGGCTTCTATCTTAATTTTCTAAGTAACCAGTGATAAGTACTAAATAGTAAGTAAATTTTCCTAGCATTAGTTCCTATTACATTATTTCGGTTTTAGATACTCGATGATATTAAACTATTATCGATTCTACATAATAATACATACTAATATGTATTCTAAGTAGTAAAGTCCAATCTGAATTTCACTACATAGAAATTCAAAGCTTAAACTAATAAGTAAGAAATATTTTAAAATCGACAAGTATGATTATTAGTTAAAAGTGAAGTTAAAGAAAAATCGCATTCGCAGTCATAGTGAGGCTAAATATGGCTTAAAAAATAAGGCTTTTGGTACTGAGTCTATTGAGGCCTGAAGTGAACTGAGGTCACTAGTGAGAAACAAAAAATACTGGTCGAATAATATTGAAGGGCCAAAGCCAACTATTTTAATACGAAAGGGTATAACTATACAGTTACGCACAGGTGCGTGCGCAATGAGCAAAACGGGACAGATGTTATTTCGGTTTACAACGACAACAAACTCTTTAAATCCTATAATATATTATATACTAGCGTCTCACCCTTGCCTTGCTTTGGGTTCGTCCCTGGACAAATACAAATCAATTCAACGAGAACCGTACATTTTTCCGGCATGACATATAGCCTATAGCCTTCCTTAATAAAGGTGCTATTTAATGCAAAAAGATTTTTTTCAAATCGGATTAATAGTTGTTGAAATTAGTAAAACAAACAAGCGTTCAAACAAACAAAATCTGCCACTTTATAATATTAGTATAGATAAATATTATAAATTGGAAAGTTTGGATGGATGTTTGTTACTCAATCACGCCAGAGCGGCTGGACGGCTCTGGATGAAATTTGGCATAGAGATAGATTATTCTCTGTCTGTCTGGAATTGGGGGAGGTCTTCGTTCAGTAGTGGACGGCGATAGGCTGATTGATTAGTAAGTGGTAACCAAGTTTGAAAAAGACTTTCAAACAATATAGTCTCAGAGGTTCAACTTCGCTTTGAGTCGAAAGCGAGTACTACATAATAATGTAAGATTATTAAACCACTAGCGATTCACCCTCACTTTGCTCGAGTTCGTCCCTAGGTTGCTTCCCTATACAAACCATTTCATTTACAACCCCTTAAGTGATGATTTCCATGATAAAAACTATCCTATGTACTTTTCAGAGTCTCAAACTATCTTACCAAATTTCATTTAAATAGGCTGGGTAGTTTTGGAGCTTATTCGGTACAAACAAACAAAAAAAATGTCCTCTTTATAAAATTAGTATGTATACATATATGTATAAATAATAATATACGCTTAAATTGCTCGCTAGTTGAAGCTATCGTATTCATGAATTAATCTCACACAACTCTGACCTTTTTATTACAATTTGGTAAATACTTTAGGAAACTCCATGTTACACACGGACATACGTAGTCTTTTTATATACATACATGTTTATAATTAAAGATAAGTACTTTTAATTTTTTTATGAGTTTTAAAGAATCAATTAAGTTTTATTATAGAGCTTAATATATTGATTTGATGTCAACGGTCTTGCCAAGGCAGAAAATTGCAAGCAAGTTATATTCTTGCAAAAGTAAAAAAATATTGTAAGTTTTTATTTCCTTTTTAGGCTCTCAATTCGAAAGATGAATTTTGGGGCTTGTAGAAAAGTGTAGAAAGTGTCAAACGGAAAGGCCAATTTTGATGAGGTTTGAACACGTTTATTATTAACTTGTAACTAAGTATGTTTTCAAATCTTGAACACCAATTTTAGCACACTATTTCTAATAGTTATATTTGTAAGAAACTACTGTATATGAAGTCCCAATGATAGCATAATAATTTGATACTATTGAACGAATGATGAAACCAAGAAATTGAGTCTTTGGAACTCTTCATTGACTGTGTGTTCTATAAGTTAGGGCTCATTTAATTCGTTTAGTTTGGTACTTTTCATTTCAATTAGTCAATAGAGTGTCTTTTTAGTTTTTTTTGAAGCTGTAATTATTTAACTAGAAACTTTTTGAATCTAGATTCTGAGCTATATTTAATGAAAATCCTGATATTTTTAAGCTATTATCCATTTTTGGAATGGATATGAGATTTTCATTGTTTTGTAATGAAATATTTTTTACTTCACTTATTCAATTTACTTAAATGTTACTGTGTTTTAACCGACTTCCCAAAAAGGAGGAGATTCTCAATTCATCGGAATCTTTTTTTATGTAGGTATGTTCACCGATTAGTCGAAGATGCCTGAACTGATTTGTTTTTTTTTGTTTCAAGGGGTATACTTCCCAGGTGTTTTAAAAAATGAACAATAATTTTTTTTTAAATAAATTGTTTAATCAAATATGTTATTAAAAAACTTTCTTCTGACAAATTACCTGCTTATTACGTCTAAACTAAAAATGGAAAAATAAAAACTTTTTAACAAAAAATAAAAACCGACTTCCAGGCACTAAAATGTAAAAAAAATAACTAAACGGAAGCACAAACTTACGCATTTAGAATAGATACCTAATCAGATATTTTCAAAGTCGGTGCCAGCCGACAATATTTTAAGATATGAATATCTAATAGGTAAATATATATTTTACGTATCGAAATATATTCGATTTGCTTTGCATCGGCTGGCACCGACTTGGACGTTATTAAGTATCCGTGCTTGAAATTTTTTACTACGGAACATGCTTCTAGTGATTTCTATCTATTTACAAGATTGAAAGAGTCTCTGAGAGGACACAGATTCGAAAATTTTAAAGCAGTAGTCGCTGCAGTACAGGAATTTTTAGGTGCTCTTGATGAAGAGTTTTGTAAGAAAGGAATTTTAAGCTTAGAAAAAATATATACCAAGTGCTAAAAGGCGACTATATCGAAAAATTAAATAACATTTAATAAAAGCTACCGACAACGTACTCATTCTCACTTTTTATTGAACACCTCTCGTAAAATGTATATTTAATACCAATAGAATTGACATTTAGAAGTCAATAATTCTTTAATAAAAACTCTTTTGGTAAATTGGTCGTTGGGCAAATAAGTATTGAAACGATGTATTATATCAACTAAGTTAAGTTTAGATAATAATATATCATGTTTTAATATACATATATTTGTATTATATTCCATACTAGCGACACACCCTCGCTCCGCTCGCGTTTGTCCCTACTAGTTTAGATTTCTCAGATTTTGTCTTTTCTCTTTCAGATTTGAAATTTGATCAAAATCCCTCCAGTAGTTTTTCCGTGATGCGGTAACAGACAGACAGACAAAAATTCTAAAAACTATAGATTCGGCCTCTGTATCGATAATAATGTCTATTTCAATAAGAATGACCAAAAAATATTTATTGTACAGATTCGGCTTAGTTACAATTTTATTATATGTATAGATAATTCAACCAGGTTAAACGTCGTTGTAGCATTTCTCTCCGATACTCTTCAGCAAAACTGATTTCCGAGCCCGCAGTACAATGGCTTCCCGACGAACTGACTGCACTGCCACTATCTTTCCTTTTTAGTACAATTCAAAAATATTTATAAAGATCTACTTTAAATAATTAAATATAGATTTAAATTGGTTTGATGTATTCAAATAAAAGCACAGCGATGTGAATCAGCTCCAAGTACAGTTCCTCATTCCTACATTTTTCAACAGACAGACGGAAGTATATTGATTTTAATATGACTTCAGTAATTATTTATGTATGCAGCATCTCATTTAATTTCATTCATACGTAGGTTTATATGAATAATTTTTATTGTATTAAAATATTTTAAATAAGATAGTATAAAGTTATTATTTGGCCCATATTTTAAAAACAAATAGTATTTTTTTCTCTTTCTAGAGTATAAGTATTAAGAATCTATTCAACACTTAGTATTTAAATTTATGCTAGCAAGTATATTGATTTTACAAGTGAAAATTGAGTATTTTATATAAATACTAGCGATTCATCCTCGCACCGCTCGGGTTCATCCCTAGTTATGTTTTAACGTTTAGTACAGATTTCTCAGAGATGAGATATTTTACCGCAGTATAAAGTATTTTATATGTTGACCCGGGTAAGCAAATTTCATCGAAATCTGTCTAGTGGTTTTCTCGTGATGCATTCCCAGACATACAGACAAAAATTCTAAAAACTATAGATTCGGCCTCTGTATCGATAATAATGACTATTTCAATAAGATTTTCCAAAAAATATTTAATGTACAGATTCGCCTCAGAATTTTATTATATGTATAGATAGATTGCATGTGCACAGATAAGATATATTAAAAAAGGATATTCAAATGAAACAATAAATATATTTTGTAATATTTATTATCTTTCTAAATTTTCCTCACTACAGAAATACGAATTACCCGAATAGTGTACAAGAGTGGAATGTGTAAGTACTACCAACATAACTGTGTTACATTGTAAATTTTATCTAAATTTTAATGCAAACATCGAGAATATACGACGTGTAACATAAAGAATAATTAAATATCAAATCTCTATTCGTAAAATTTAATTTTACACCCTATATTACATTATATACAATAAAATGTACCAACTGGGTAAAGTACAATACATATGTACCCTGTTATTTACATCTTAATCTAGAGCTTACTAAGCTTTATAAAACGCTTCTCTACATTGCTATTCCGACATATGTATACGTACATTGAAAACTGATAAATTGCTCCGATCTAAAAGTTTTAGATAGCAATGTAAAGCGGCTGTAAAAGTTAGCGGTACCGTGCATTGGCGTGGCATCAATTCTGTCAATTAAACCATAATAGTATTTCCAATTATACTCTCTTTTCCTTCCAAAAGTTCTGAATAACCAGATTCATCGCTACAGGCACTGTCGTTGTCACCTGTATTTTTAAAAACCTCAGTCTCAGTACTTGAGTTCAAGCTCTCAATATCTGTCAAATTGTCTATAATATTGTCGAATTTGCCCTCAAAACTAAGAATGTTGTCGGCCCTTAAAGGGGGGTATGTCGATCGTCGACGAAAAGTGTTCTTCTCACCGATGGGCACAGAAATTACTTCATCTGAAGCAATAGTGCTGCTTTCGCTGTTTAAAGCGTGTATGGAGTTTGTGTAAGTCCTCATTGATGTACTTTCGAAGTGGCGTTCTCTTTCTATTTCAAAGACTGTTCTTTCTTCATCGCTATCGATCTCTTTGTGCAATTCTTCTGTAAATTGTAAAGGTAGTGACGTGGGTTCGGCGTCAGAGGAAGTCACTGTGCTTGCTGTTTCGCATCCAGAAGAAACAGATCCATCGTCGCTGTCAGTGACGAGGTAGTTACTTTGTGCTAGCATCAAACTCTTTCTTTCCTCACACATTGTGCCATTTCCAACAGTCTCCTCAATAGACTCTAATGTTTTCAATATCGATTCCATTTTCTCAGTATTTTGACTAGTTTCGTTTTCGATTTCTGCTTTTAATTTACTTTCTTGAACAAGTAAGTCTATAAACTTATCCCTCGATTCTTGTTCTTGTTTATCTATTAATGTATCTATTACACCTTCGGGGCACGACAACTTGCGGGATGCTTTGTCAATTCGCCGTCTATCCAAAGTTTGTGACGTGGTGAAACCTGCACTCAATTCTTTCTTTTCGTTCAATTCTGCTTCTTCTTCATCTTCTTCGGAACAGAGTTCCTCAATAGCCCCAAGTTTAGGAGCAGATTTGGATCTTTCCAAGGGTGGTCGGTAATTCATCGCCCCTACACTTAGCATTATTTTTCTACGCGGCATGCTGGGATTATCATAAACACTGTTAGCAAGGCTTAATCTTGCATTTTGCTTGGAGATTCTGTCCTTTTTAAATTCAACTAGAGCCTGTTTAAGTTTAATTTGAAGCTCCTCAGTTATTTTCTTTGATACGGATTCTTTGGTGCATAGAACGGCGTGACAGCGAAGTTCGTGTTTTAGCTTCTTGCCCTCATGGCGGTATACCCAACAGAATAGCTTAGGATAGTGTGGTGGACTGGCACAGTATGTGATCCTGTGGGACCAGTACTCTGTTAGACCGTGTTCTTTGGTAAATCCTTTAAGCCCGGAGTTTGTGACTGATAGTTTCATCACTACATCCGGTTTCGTGGACTGTTGGTAATTCCTCCATAGTGTAGCTAGTGGCTTCTCGATGCAGCTTTCACCTGTAAATTAAGAAAAAATTATTAGTATTATATTAATAAAAACAAGTATTTATATTATTATTTATATACTGTTTATTATTATTGGTAATAATATTTTAAGTCGATTATTTATATCTCATGATTTTTGAGATATCTTTTGCAGGAAAGTCCATTAAGTCTAAACTAATAAAAATTCTTATAGACAGGTCCTTTTAGTAATAGAGGTGAGGATTAAAAATTAATAGCTTAAGGCGATCTAATGAGGTAGTAATATAACATTACCTAATTATGTTTATGAGCTATTTAGGCCAAGTATTCACGTGGGCCAACACCTACGTGTGTATGGCTATCAAGTTACATATCTTAAATCCATCTACGCGATTGTTTGTCTCTGGCTTGCGGCAAACAATATGTGACATTAACCGATTGTGTTGTGAGAGAGATAATATTACTACGCATCGTTTAAGTGTTATTTTATATTATAATATTCGTTTGCATAACTAATGACCTGTCCTGATCGTACCTGATTGTTTTATATCATTTCACTGTACATGAAGTTTTTTTGCTAATTTTATTGAAAGTAAACTGGACAGAAAATTTGAATTTTCATATATTTAAGTCTAGTAACATTTTTCATCATCATTTATTTTTAACAACCTTTTTGGTCCCTTTCTATAGCGAGACTGAAAATTCGAGTTCTATAGGTAGGTAAAATAACATTTTACGTCATATAATCAGTAATACTAATAGAATACTAAAATTTTACAGACATTTAATTGTTATGATAAATAGTTCTAATGACATATTATCTTTCATATAAACTTTCTTAAAAGCATCTTTTTGGTTAAAAATGTATGTAGCGCTCACTATATATTTTTTTACCGTCGACTATTCATACATATAAAGCCCTATAATCACTTCACTTGAATAAGTTTTGTATACAAGTAATTTCTCGTTTAGATTCAGTAATTTAGGTATTTGGTACGGTAATTTCATAACATTATATAGTCGTAGCTAATTGCATAAGATACGAGTATCCGTATTGTGTTAAAAAAAAGTCAGTTGTTTCCAAAGAAAATACAGATTTTGGAAGCATTTATCCTCGTAGAAATCCTGTTGAGATATACGTTTTTCTAGAATATTAAAATATGACCATATATTTCCTATAGCCTTCAACAAAAGGTTATTATAAATTAAAAATTCCTCGCTTCAAGTTTTTTCTTCTTAAAATCTCATATGTCTTTTGCACGGTTTTTAATTTTGGTATTTTGGATGTATCGTGGGAAAATCATAAGCCTCATGCACTTTCATTTATCTAAAGACTCGCAACAGTATATACTACGTCGTTGTTTTACGTGAGGATCGAAACAGTCTATTCGTACTACCAAGGCTCTACTGTACACTAAAATTTTATTCTACTGGCACGGTAAGAAGCCATTAATAAAAAAAACTATGTTCGGAAATTTAATCACATAATTATGGTATAGAATGTAGTTATTATGAAATTTTGTAATGATTGAATTGAATTATTGAATAGAATTGAATATATTTTTTTGTAATTTTATAATGGCTGAAGTTCTTTCCCTATCGCTCAAAAGTAAGTAGCAATATATCTAAAGTCATGGAAATGATGAGTTTTCTAGCAATACACGTAATAAGCACTCGCTTCCGTCACATATGTGGCCTTATTTCGTATTGCATAAGGAAATTGCATATGCAGTAGGGTTTCCATGCGACCGTCTGTGACACATTTCAATTAGGATATTGTTTATTTTGTGCTAGAGCAAGCTTCCTCTGTTATATGTATATGTTAATCTATACGTTTTTTATCTTATTATATGTATGTTTGCAAAACTTTTTCGTCCATTGCAGATTTAATAGTCCATTTTTTGAATAAGCGGTTATATTTGTTTATTGAAGTAGAATAAAGATGATGAATATCTAATACTTTGATATCACTTTTAATAATAAACTTTAATAATATTTTAAAATATTATCTAAACTCTGAAATAATCTACCAGGACTGTCCTAAGTTGAAATTAGTATGGTCACTATACAAAAATTTGTCTTCGTTGAGTTTAGTTTAGTCAAGTCGTTACATCACGCGGTGACCGCTTGTGCAAGTGCTCTGTCCCATTCAATAATTGTATACAGCTTACAAGTTTTTTAAAGAGGTTTTAATCTTTCAAAATCATTTCTTAAAAGTATTTGAACGTTTTTATAAAAAGCTTAGTAATTTGTTCTCATTTTTTTAAGCAAAGCAATCTAAATATTTGTTTATATTGTTAATATAATAAATAGATAACTTAAGTATATCACTAATTGTTTTTTATCATCGCTATTTCACCTTGAGCAGGGTTTCCCAACCTGTCTTCTGTTGAGCCTCCCTGGATTATAAAAAACTATTTCCATGCCCCCTTTTATTTTACTTTTATTGTAATAAAACACTTTATTTTAAAGATTTTTATTTATTTTTTAAATTAAAATTTATGCAAAATAAACTCTATCTACGTCCCCTAGGTGGACACGCCCCCCAAAGTTGGGAACTAGTGACCTAGAGGGTGGTATAAAAATTTCAAACAAATCTTCCCCTCTTGGTGAAATCTTTTATCTTCTTAACAATATACCAATTACTAATAAAGAAGGAAGTTTTCGAAAAACTAGCTCCATTAATTGGTAAAGAGGTTTCGAATCCGGAACATTACTAGAACACCTTGAGGTTAGCCATAATGTACACAATTTTTTTTATAATATCTTTGACGTGGATAGGCTAATTAACTAATAGAGTTAAGTACTTGCCTACAAATTTTCCGTTACATAATAACTCTTTATACATACTATTAATGTAAATTAGAAAAAATGTATAAATATAACACATTAGCCACCGGTTCTTTTAATTCTGACGTAAATTATTAATAATAATAATTTCTACAAAAAAATTATATATAAGTACATACATATTTTATGAAAATGTCTGCCTGTCTGTGATATTATAGTTTCCGAACGGATAGATCCATTTTAGTGCGGTTTATATACTTATAAGCTATTTTACTTTTTTATTATCATCTCCATCATAGTACACTTTACCACATTTTAACTCAATTAACCAATAGAGGAGTGCCACTCAAAACTAACCATTTCATCTATCCTATTCTCCAATGATGTGTAATTAATCAGATAAAAATTATAAAAATATTTGCCTTCTGTTATATTTCACATACAAAAAACCTGATGTTCTTTTTCTATATAAGATGATGTATTAACAAAAGTATTATAAAGTTAGGTCTTTAGTATATGTATGGGCGCTTTATATAACGGGTTTTACAAGTATTGTATAATTTTAGATATCCGCTATTGATGTAAAATATTAGGTAGCATTTGCAAGTAATTTTATCAGCATCCGATTTTCTATTTAAATGATGCTATTATGAAGGTAAAGGAAGGAAGAAATATAAGGCAATGGTAGCCCAGTGGTACGCGCTCGCTTGGGAAACCGAGTGAAGCGGGTTCAAATCCCGGGTCTCACACCTCTGATATTTTCATGTGTGAATCATTCTTAATGGTGAAGGAAAACATCGTGAGGAAACCTGTATGTCTGAGAGAACCTGGCAAGTTTTCGAAAGATACGTGAAGTCCGCCAATCCGCACTTGGCCAGCATGGTGGACTATGGCCTGATCCCCCTTATACTGAAGGGAGGCCTGTGTCCAGCAGTGGGACGTCGAAAAAAGGGCTGAATACAATGTAGCTAACCTCTTACTATATCGGAGATGTTGGAGTATGGGTATACTGAAGTTCATATTATATCGCTCACTTGAAAAACAAATCAAACAGACTCAAGCTTTGAGTCTCTCATTCTTAAGATTTTCATATTCTTCGACAACACGTTTGGCCCAGTTTGTATTGACCCTACTTGCTGTGCCAGTGGTCGCGGGTTCAAGTCCCGCTGGAGGCATACATTTATGTAATGATCACGAATGTTTGTACTCCAGTCATGGGTGTTTATATGTAATTTATATGTATGTATGTATAATGCATTTGTAGTGTATCAACTACCGGGTATCCATAACGCAAACTTACCATGGAATTAGATGGTGTTTGTATTAATGTCCCAACATATTTATTTGAAAAAAAACCGATTAATAAAATCGAAGAGAAAAAGATACTGAATTGTTTTTTCTTTACCTACATATGTATATATACGGATATATTATGTCAATATTTTACTCAATCTATTTCTATGCAAAGGTGTTCGACGTTGCATTGCTACTAGTACCAAGATGCGCGTTCCAAAGAATATAACGTGGCATTTAAAATATGTATAAGCAAAGATTGACAAGTGTTTGATAAGTACTGAAAGTAAATCTTGCAGTATTTTTTATTTAAGTAATAAATCAAGGCATGTTACACATCCACTGAGAGTTAGTAAGAGGTCTTTGAACGTAATGTACTTAACAATGTAAGTGAAAGTGCTGTCCGTTTGTCGTTCTTAGAGGAAATGATCCGGCTGGACTTTATAACATCATTATGTACACACTAGCTTTTGTCTACGGATTTACGTGTTTTGTTTTAAAATGAGGGGTGTTATATGATTAATTACTAATTAGACATATTGTATACCAGCAATGTTTCATGAAAATAAGCTCAGATATTTTCAAGTTTTAATACATATCTGGCCACTTAACAAATTGAAATTCACAATAATTATGTTTAAAATAAAACTATAAATCTATGGGAATGAAAAATATTAATCACGTAACAAAATGCATTCATTTTATATGTCATTTCCGTACACTTTTTTAGTTTTCTATTAGCGATATCGCTTGTAAAAAAGCAATTTGCTTAAAGCTTAATATGTAGATGTGATCTCCATCGATGAATAGCTACCAATTTCAACGGTTTTATGTATTTAGATAAAATGATTTTTTAGTTGCTAACGCAATTTTTGTTCCTAAAATTATACATGAAAATGGCACATCTAAAAGTATGTCACGTGATCAGAAAATGTTATATCCATTTTTGCTTTTCTTTTAGTCATTATATATTAAATAAAAAAAAAATATCTAAAGGGGCCTGGATCGGGAATATTCTCTTATATTCGTTGCCTGTGAGGGTATACGCTTGCGAGAACAAGTGGATAATGACATAAGTAGACTATCAGGTCGATCAAAAAGCCAGTCGTCCAATAATATGATAATTTTAATCAATCTTTGGGCTATAAATAAAGTACTGAGAAAGATTTTTTGCACAGATAGATATTAAGAGATATTACAGAGATATAGATATAGAGATGTATATATAGAGCTTGTGAATCGGAGGCTATACTCGTATAGCGACATTTCAAGCTATTCCCCTTGGAAATTAGTCTGTATCAAAACCGAAGGACATGTCTGAGTGAGACAAGATCTATATTATCCATAACATAATATCCATAACCAAACTAATAATATAAATGTTTATTGTATTTTTTAAGTAAACATACTAGGCATAGACATAGGGCATGATAGCCTGTCAGTGTTTACCAAAAAATGTGAGTATTGTTACAGTATGATATAATATTTGTAGTGAATTGTGTATTCTATTCTTAAGGTTCTTTTATTATTATTATTGTTATTACAAAATTTAAATAAACTCTTTAATATAATGTAAAGTTTTAAGATATTTTTATACAATATGAAGCATGTTGTGTTCTCCTATAATTGTGAGTGTATATAGGTTAAGTATTGTTAATCTATTAGTGTAAGTTTTTTGTGTACTAACGTTGGAGATCCTAATAAATAAAATAAAAAAAAATATATTTGGAAACGTGTTGGTGTGTTTGTCTTTCTTTCGCATTATAACTTAGCAATCGAATGACATGATTTTTTTTTGTATAGCGATGCTCGTAGCTAATTTTGCCTTACAAAATCTCATTCATATGTGTCTCTAGCTAGTACTAGAGTGGAGAAAAAGTAACATCAAAACCGCCTCATCATTAAATCTATATATATAATAAAATTCTGAGTCGATTCTGTAAATTAAGTATTTTTGGAAAATATTATTGAAATAGTCATTATTATCGATATAGAGGCCGAATCAACAGTTCTTGGACTTTTCGTCTGTCTATCTGTCTGTATGTCTAGGAACGCATCACGAGAAAACCACAGGACAGAATTTGATGAAATTTGGTATGATGATAACTGGTCAACATATAAGATACTTTTTACTGCGGGGAAATATGTCATCACTGAGAAATCTAAACTAAATCTTACGTATCTAGGGACTAACCCGAGCGGAGCGAGGATGAGTTGCTAGTTTGTAATATAATTTGTAATATATAAGAAAATTTAAATGATTTGTTTTAATCTTATTCTTCTTCTTTTCCTTGTTTTCATTAATTATATATAATTATTCTTTTTAATATCTTCCTTTATCCAGTGGATGATATGACAAGTGTCTGTACATCGGCGGTACAACGTGACGGTGCGTGTGTAAGTGGGTGACGCTTTCACCAGCCGCGGTTATAGACGAATTATGACCGATTATTATTACCAAAGTGGAAGTATGCTCTACTTGATCTTTACAGGAAATGATTAGTATGTAAAGGAGTACGATAATAATCACATTAATATTATAAGTAAAAAAATTTGTGTTTGTGTGTATGTTCCTTTGTTACGCTGTCATAAAGCACACTGACAGAATTAAGGTGGCGTATAGTATAAATTAATAATTAAGTCATTTGTACTTATTAGACAAGTACTAAGATTTTTTTTATTATGTTATGATACACATTTAATGGTAATAGTAACATGTATATAATACGTTCATTGTTAATATGATTTTAATGGCTTATAACAGTACACAAAGGCACAAACAGATCTATCCCATGGGAACCGTTTATTTTTCCGGTATAAAAAGGAACCTGTTGTTCGACCGGCAATATAAGGTATCAGCATGCCAAAACTTATTAAATTAAGTGCATAAATTGTTTTGTACTAAGCTGTATATGTCATTATAATTTTTTAACTATCCCATGGGAACTATTTAATTTTCCGGATAAAGAGTATCTTAATGTTGACCGGGAATATAAGGTACCACCATGCAAAATTTCATTCAAATCGGTCTTACAGTTTCGGAGATTAGCCCATACAAACTGATAAACAGACAGAGACTATGTCACTCTCCAGCCCTCCCTCCAACTATCTACACACAAAAATCAACAAACACCAATCCGTCACTCCGTTTCGACATGAAAGAAAGACAAACAAACAAACAAACAAACAACTTCCACATTTATAATATTAGTATGGATTATATGTATTGATAACGGCGTCACTCTAGTCTGTAGCATTTTTTAATTCGACTTTGTTGTCTTTCCTTTCTACGAGTATTTTCACTCTCATGAGGTTTTATCTTTCAAATTACTTAAGACTTTAGGAAACCTGATTTTTCATAGGATTGTAATAAAAATATAGTTAAACTTTTTAAACCCTATTAACATTTCGAGCACACAAAAAAATTATGAATACAGCAACATTTTTTTAATTTTTATTCATCTGTCTGTATGTCAATTTGTCCGTCTTTCCGTACTTTATCCTTTCTAGGAAACAATTTTGCTCACAACACGAAAATATAAGGAAGCGCTTAAGTATTTTATCCGTAATTTTAACATTAAAAATAAGGAAATGCGAATATCTCGTGTTAAATGACGCATACTTTTCTCATTTGCACGTATTTGGGGCATAATAATATTGCTTGCAAAATGTACTAACTAAGGTTAACAAACTATGAAAATGTGTAAGAAGTTGGTTTTTTAGCTTATTTATATAATTTCATCTATTATTATGAATATTTTTTTTCTTCATTAAATTTAAAAAAATATTAAAGGAAAAAAAATCTATCGTATGAAGAAATACTTAAGCAGGTTATCAATAAGTTGAATTTGCCAATGAAAATTCCATCAAAATCAGTCCAGCTATTTTGGGGATTATCCGGAATAAACAAAAAGACAGGCAGACATACACTTTTTTAAATTGTGTTTTTTTTTTTAAATAGGTACCATATACGAGTATAATTTCATATGCATTTAGGAAAAGTTGTTATTTTGATATTACAAACAGACACTTCAAGTTAATTTATTTGTATATATGTAGATAGTGATGTTCTCGACGACACGACCAGTGAGAGTTAAGGCGCAGGACCGACGGCTTTACGTGCTCTCCGAGGCACGGGGGTGAAACACCGCCAACTTCCCAACTCCGGGCTGTTACTGAGACTTACTATACAGAAAGACTTAATAACTAAACTTGGCCCGACCCGGGACTCGAACCCAGGACCTCCGAGTGTGCAGCCGTACATGCTAGCCTCTACACCACCGAGGCAGTTCTGTAGATAGTAGGCGGATGATATTAACATTAAGAAAATAGTAGGTATATAACAAATAAATCAAAATCAATAATCATAAAACTTGATTCATCATAATAACTCTTATTACTTATTAAGTGTAGAGAATCATCGAACATACAGACAAATTACAAAACAATGAGAGATTTTTTGTTTCGTTAAATGAATAATTAATAAACTATTAATATTTGTAATTTTTGTTTTATATGTGCAATAAATAATATATACTTATATGAATGCGCGTGTTATAGAGACGTATAGGTATGTGCAAATGAAATAAGTCAATTTTATTTATTTATTTACAATAAAATATATGTTATACAAAATAAAGTAACAAAATGTTGACAAAGGATAACTTATCTCTTTAAGAGATTTCTTCCAGAAACCCTTCAGAAGTGAGAAAATAAATTAATATTATATTTTACGGTATTAAATTCGTAATAGGTATAAATTGGGCTTACGAAACAAACCTCTTAAAATTGGTAAGATATTGATTGAAAACCTGTTATAATATCAATTCATAACGGAACGACTTTGTGGTCGTTGTTGATGATTTTTTGATCATTTGATACACGTGTATCCTAACACATCCGTATCAGCTAGATCTATTACAATAAAAAATAGGTAATATCCACCTAATCAATTTCAGTTATGACAACCAGATTGGTTGCCCTGGCTGATATTGAAACCACTGAATAACTGTGTACGCGCAGACACAAGTGCACTCTCTATTCCTGTCACTCTCATACTTCGGTGGGACGAGTGCTCGACACGAGCAGTGAAACTCGGGAGCACGTGCGCTAAGGCGCAGGACCGATGCGACACGTGCTCTCCGAGGCACGGGGTTGAAACACCGCCAACTTCCCAACTCCATAATGCTTTTAAATATTTCGTGATAACTAAACGAAAGTGGGAAGTTAGGCAGTGG